GAGGAATGAAATTGTCTAGGAATGAAATTCATTATGATTAGTGCGTTTTGTGGAAGTATTGAGGTCGACATCTAATAGTTGCAGCAGCAAATATAAATATCAGCGAAATTCTCTCTGACTGATATTTTTTCATTTATCATGCTTTTATATATCACATATAAGCTCATAACCCATATAATAATTACGACGGTTATATTCGTGTACAGCGTGCTATGATGTACTGTGTTATATGACTATATGTTGTTGCTTTGTATGAATGTTTACTTTTAGCCTGAACGAATCGATCCACAAAAGGGCCAGTGCTACGATGTACGGTCAGACGTATGGAGTCTCGGGATTACTCTGGTACGAAAAACTGCTGACACAGTAGTGTTGAAATACTTACCTAACCAGAGACTTTTGTTCTGCTCCAGACTCGTCTTTGCCTTTGCTGCCCGTAGTGGTTTATTTGATTCTTGAAGGCTTGTTTTTGCATTAATCGTCCTACTGCAGAAACGACAACACAGACTTTTCATAAACGATGCGTAATGTAAGCGTTTTGTTGGAATGACAAATGCTAAATAGCTAATCGACGTTTCGTCATTTTTCACAGTTCATCAAAACGGTGTTAAACTTATCAGTGGTTTAAAGGAGGTCACAAACTTGGTCAAGAATTAGACATACTGTGGTCGACGACTTGCATGATTTACAAGAACATGTGTGAAACAGATCAAAGATTTGTTCAACCTGGACGGACATATTGCATTAGTCAATTCTTAGTGCCTATTGTTTTGATGGTATGGCTAGGCCAACCAAGTGTCAAACAAAGATGGTGGAAATGTTTTATTGTTATTTTGTCATCGTTTTCTGAGGTTAACAGACCTTAAACAGCATCAAACCCCAGATTCACACTGTCGGACAGTAAGAAATGGTATTAGGCAGATTGATATTGGGCAAACCTCACTGCTCTGGCAAATGTCATTCTTTCTTTCCAAAAACAAGTCTGTCTCAATGAGGTTTTATCACGTTTTATACTATCCTTCCTCGTTACTGCGCAGTGTCTAGTACCCAAGAGAGAAAGGTTTAGAATATTTTTCCATTCTTTTTTGGTACATTCTGACAAACCAAACCAGGCAGCGTTCTCTGAGTTCAGTTGATAGTTTTCTCAGACCGGTGGTCGTCAGCACCTGCTCGCCCAATGGTACCATGGCATTTTGAGTATAGAGTGCAGACGGTATTGCTGGAAGCTATTTGATAGAGCTTCATGACGGCATGTGCTTCGAGATTGTGCGTTAATAACGCGAATACGGCTGCTTTCAGAATGGTGATCCTCGTATCCATTCGTAAAGTCCTATTCTTTCATATGTTATACAGCTTGTCATAATTACCGATGCTAGTGCGTTACGCCGATTCACTTCAGGATCAGTTTCATCACTGTTAATCAACACAGTCCCGAGGTACTGAAAATTGTCCACCTCATCCATCGTGACCCCGTCAGATGATATCGTCAGGCTGATAATCGCAACGGGCTCCCTCATAATCTTCGTCTTCTTGGCGTTGGCTTGTAGCCAGGTGGCCGTAGTCGTATTACGCATCCTTTCGGTGAGTGTCATAGGCTACTTACGCTGTCGCTCAACAATACGTCATCGGCGTGCTCAAGGTCCGTTTAGAATGCCGCTGGATATCTACGATGCGAGAAGGTTTTACTGGTCGTTTGAACGAGTTTCGTTACCAAACCGACAGTTTCTTCCGGGTAGAAGTGAAATGACCGGTAGCACTGTGCCTGAAAATACGAACACAGAACGCCAGACAAAAACAGAACAATTTATTAACAACATTAGAATGTGTGATTGACAGTTTAGGGTACTCATGACATCTGTACGGATGTTTATATCAATTTCATGATAGAGTCCCACCTTCCTTGTGTCATGGTTGACTAGCAATAGTCAGTGCACGTTCGATTCTTTTTGTTTAAACATGCTTCTTTTATCAGTAAACCGACTCTTGAATGGTTCTTGTTGAGTACACTAACACCATCCTAACTGAATGATTGCCTCGCTTGCCTATTAGGCGAGACCTGAGTTGTCATTCAGCCTGACACCAGCTGCTTATAAGTGTTTGTCGGTGCAGATGTTCTTACGTCCGATTGGTTTTCCCAATGTAAATCTTATTCTAGTCTTCGCAGTCGATTTTTTAGTGACATTTTGCGTATATTTGGGGTTGTTTAAATTTTAAATTTGAGCATTGCTACGGTTGTAATAAACTCCGCGCTGTTGAGGTTCAGATGCCTGGTGTATGAAGGGTAGCATGCCATCGGTCTATGTTCAAACCTCTTCTTTAAGGTAGGACTAGAGTGCACGGGTGCTCTTTCTAGTGTTTTCTTTGAACATGCATTCTTCGGGAACACTCATTGCAGGCGTTGGGCTTGTGCTTAGGGCGAAGTAGAGAGTTGCAAGTTCCCAATGCTGGTAAACGCATGTTCTTCACAATGTTCCTGTACAGAACAGAACTTACACGAAGTGGGGCGCGTGATGAATACCTTTTGGAATGCACAGTATGAGTATCCCTGCCGCAGAGAAGGACACAGCGTAAGGGATTGGGCCTGACAAAATATATGGCGTGTATTTTCCTTAGCGGTTGGTCGACCCAAGTTTTGCTTGATGAATTCTTTGCCCGTGGATATTAGTGGTTAAGGAAATTATATCAGAATTCGATCTCTACACTTTCATTGTCAACATTTTATCAGTGTGCTATCGCCACGTAATAATAAAATCACATATTTGCATAATTGAATAATGTTTTTTTGCTATCTTTCAATCGTATGTGGTAATACTCTTTAAACAATCTTTTGAGAAAGTTCTTTGCTTTCAAATGTTTGAAATTGTTTACGATATTCAGAAAGTAGCAAAGGATACAGAAGCGCTAGATCTAACGTTTTTGAATGCTTGATCTCGAATGATGCATATTTATGTTTCTTATAATGTGTTGTGAAACTGTTTACTTACAGGTCGAAATCGCCACCGGACAGTTTCCCTATCCACCGTGGAACTCAGTTTTTGATCAGTTGCAGCAGGTCGTTCATGGCGATCCTCCGTTGCTCAGCCCAAAAGACTACGCCTTTTTTAGCTTGGATTTTATTTACTTTGTGAATAGTTGTCTTATCAAGGATGAAAATCAAAGACCAAAGTACAAGCAGCTGATGGTTAGTAGATCATATCATATTTTTATATTTTTATGAAATCGAAAGCCTGAAGTATTATTTATTTTTGTACTTTTATTGATCTTGTTTATAGCTAAACACACAAATTGGCGTATATCGTCGAAAATCCTATTGGTCTTACCGAGTGTTTTAAAATTCGACAGTTTACAGCACACGTTGTGATCACTGTTTCGTTTTGTTCATGGCCTATG